TGTGTGCCAAGGGATACACAGGGAAATATTGTGAAACAGGTAGCGTTCTAGCTTTTTGTAACGAACAACAGTAACAGGACTGGGTAGAGTCCAATTCGGTTTGCGGTCATACATGTGACCCAAACTGAACCGGAAAAATGTTCGAGAAAAAACAAATAGACAAAGCGGAGCTTGTTTACCATTTATACTCTCAATTAAACCAGTCATGAGGCCATCAAACTTGCGTGTGTAAGTCGGAAGCTCAATGAGGATCTCAAGATGCAAAAATCTAAAAGCCCCCATTGTTAAATTCAATTGAAACCTACCGATGTGATTCAGGATATTTAGAATATACTCGTGAGCACCAGCACGAGAGCGTGGATGGACACAAATGAAAGTCGTTCTTGTCAAATTAAACAAAATGCTCGGATACCACAGCGTCTCTTACAAAAGTTTTAAGTAACTGTACTTGCGAAATACAAAACGTACCAGTAAAATTGTATGCTGTTTTAAGAAGATGTTATTCATACGCAAGCTCAAACCAGAACTGAACGTGCGAACAGATCCAGTTCGTGTTATAGTGTTTGTTTAGCCACCTGTTCAGTCATTATGTTAAATATGGCAACAGTACATGGAGAATACAACATGGGACTGTAAATACGACGTTACAAAACCACCTAGAAAGGTGGCAATAGTTACTGCTAGTAAGTCCAGAAAAACATTTGTGTGAGTAACCAGTTGTCAAGGGAACACCAGGATCCCTAAATAATCGGACATGTTTCAGAATTTTTAAATTGTTATAAATTATTACTTTTTTGTTTTTCTTAATATTTTCATTTGGAATTAGACATCGATGAGTGCGCTAGTAACCCGTGCCTGAACGGTGGAACCTGCACCGACCAAGTGAATGGCTTCACGTGCAGCTGTGTATTGGGATTCAGAGGAACACGGTGTCAAATAGGTTAGTGTGCTTATTCATGAAATTCGTGAGAGAGTTTGCGTGCAGCATTCCTAAGGAGAATCGCGAGACTTGTAGCACAGTTTGTAACATAATAGCTTAAACTAACAACTCTGGTTCAAGAGCAGTTTTGCTACAGAAACACCACAAGTACTTCTGTGGAGTAACATTTATTTAACTCTGGACACACTTGTAAAGTAAACCTCGCTTGTATCTTGTGTTTTGCAATCGGGGGGAAGGATTTAAAGCTATGACACTTAAAATTGAAGGCGGTGAAATGTTGGGTCCAAAAATGCTTCCTTCAACGAAGTCCTATGATAGAATACCCATGACGTTGTTCGTATTTGCTTTTATGTTTTTTTTTTTCTTTGTTTTTTCTTTATTTCGAATTAGACATCGATGAATGCGCTAGTAACCCCTGTTTCAACAATGGAACTTGCACCGACCGAGTGAATGGCTTCACGTGCAGCTGTGTACCGAGATTCAGTGGAACACGGTGTAAAACAGGTTAGAGTCGATGCCTGCTATTCTTTATTTGGAGAAGTTGCATGCATCACTTGTAAAGAGAATCATGATATCTAGGGCACAGTTTGTTATAACTTANATTTTTTAAATTGTTATAAATTATTACTTTTTTGTTTTTCTTATTATTTTCATTTGGAATTAGACATCGATGAGTGCGCTAGTAACCCATGCCTGAACAGTGGAACCTGCACCGACCAAGTGAATGGCTTCACGTGCAGCTGTGTATTGGGATTCAGAGGAACGCGGTGTCAAATAGGTTAGTGTCTTAATTCATGAAATTCGTGAGAGAGGTTGCGTGCAGCATTCCTAAGGAGAATCGCGAGACTTGTTCCACAGTTTGTAACATAATAGCTTAAACTAACAACTCTGGTTCAAGAGCAATTTTGCTACAGAAACACCACAGGTACTTCTGTGGAGTAAAATTTATTTAACTCTGGACACCCTTATAAAGTAAACCTCGCTTGTATCTTGTGTTTTGCAACCGGGGGAAAGGATTTAAAGCTATGACACTAAAAATTGAAGGCGATGAAACTTGGAGGATGCATGTTGGGTCCAGAAATGCTTCCTTCGACGAAATCCTATGATAGAATACCCAATGACGTTGTTCGTATTTGCTTTTATGTTTTTTTTTCTTTGTTTTTTATTTATTTCGAATTAGACATCGATGAATGCGCTAGTAACCCCTGTTTCAACAATGGAACTTGCACCGACCGAGTGAATGGCTTCACGTGCAGCTGTGTACCGGGATTCAGTGGAACACGGTGTCAAACAGGTTAGAGTCGATGCCTGCTATTCTTTATTTTGAGAAGTTGCATGCATCACTTGTAAAGAGAATCATGATATCTAGAGCACAGTTTGTTATAACTTATTAAA